GGCTGGCAATATTGTTAAATGCCCCCCCCCCCCCTTTTTCTGCTACCAACTACGGCTTCTTGCCTCGCAGACCTCTCCGAGAGCCCAGCAGCGGCGAGTTCAACATCAGCATAATGTTTTATCGGTCGACGGTGCTTGACTATGGCGTTTACGAGAACCTCAACATCTGCGACGAAAGAGTGTCGCCGCCGTCCGCTTTTACAGATGTGAGGTGGTAGGCATGGTCCCAACTCGCAACAAACTTGAGTCATTCAGTGGAGTATCCGATCAAATGCTAGTACCTCCAAACCAGGGGGAAACATGTTCAGGCAGCTGCTGTCTTCGCACCCGCAAACAACCCCGCTTCTTGTACCCCATCTGCATCATTTCTTGCATCAAGCAGTGTGCGACTCAACTCGCTAGTGTCGCCACTTATCCAAAGGAGTTGCCTTCGTAGGGCTACATTCCGCAATTTCCTGTAGAACGTACAAGAACAACTCGACCCACACACTTCCCTGGCCATGTGAGAAAGAGTCAGAACTGCCCGGTGGGAGCACGGGCTTCGAGGTTACGATAGTTCGGGTGTTTCGACTTTTAACGTGTTGTTTGTTTAGGGAGGACACTTGACACCAACGAACGCCCACCCAATCTAGACGATACCCCGTTCGAAGGGGATGTTCTCGCGGAAACCGTCACCCCGAACCTTTGAACAGACCTGTTGCCGCCCCCACCCCGTTAACTTCGTCATTTGGATGTGCCCGCGTGGCTACTTGCCGGGGGAATGAAAAAGGTTGAAGTAATTTCGTTCCCAGCGGTCCGAAACACCGATTACGGGGAAGATGGCGTGCTGGGCCAAGCCTACACGGCGGACGTGCTGGCGCGCCGCGAGATCGCGGAGTCGGGGCTGCAGCACGCCTTCATACAGGTGTGCCCCACCGACGTCGGCGCCGAGGTCCTCAACACGGCCGGCTCGCTGGACTTCAGGAACCCGTACGGCTACCTGCCAGGCGCGGACTACGGCTGCCTCCCGTTCGAGGTGTTCCGCGTTGTCGCGTCGATGGCGCTCGGCATCGGGTTCGGCTACGCCATGCTGGCGCACCGGGCGTCGATCCTGCCCGTGCACAAGATGATCATCGGGGTGATCGTGCTGAGCACGCTGGAGGCTTCGACCTGGTGGGGCGCGTACAGCTACGTCAACGCGACGGGGAGGCCGTACTGTTGCCCGTACCCGGGCGTGGTGGTGCTGGCGATGCTGATGGAGATCGTCCGGCGAACGACGAGCAGGTTCATGCTGCTCATGATCTGCCTCGGGTACGGCATCACCCGGGTGCAGCTTGAGAGGAGGGAGATGATCTCGGTCTGCGCGCTGACCGTGGCGTTCTTCGCGTCGGGCATCGTGCAGCTAGCCTCGTCGGTGGGCTCCGCCTCCAGTGTGGGCAGCGGGGGCGAGTACGAGACCTACAACCCGTTGCTGGCCGTGCCCGCCCTTCTCTTCGACATGGTGAGTTTTTCGAAAAGGGCCGCGTCGTTGTCCCTCCCTCCCGATAGCAGCAGACGAGGAGAAGGACAGGCGAGACTAGAAACGATTTGAGACTAGACTTTGGTTGTCCTCGTGCGAACTCTCGACGAGCAGCTTTTTGTGAGGTCTCGTTCTGGCTTAAGCCACCCCGGCAGACCCGCACCATTTGCTGAATATCTAGTCAAGCTTTGTCTGGATGGACCTTCGGGTTCGAACATAATCATGCTGTTCGGGAGGGACGGGGGTAAGCACCGTATCCCTCTTTGCGAGCAGAGCACGAACTTCCGCGCGCGACGTGGCCTTCTCCAGACAGGGCCGGGCAGGCTGCTTGCTATAGGAAGCCCCGTCAGCTTCCTCGTTCTATATCTGACGAACAGCGTTGTTGTTTTTCGCCGTTTTTTTTTTTTCGTACGGGACAAAAAAAAGGCATCTCTACACGTGTATCCCTCAAATAGAGAGTCTAGAGCAATATCCGCGATCGCTGCATGGCGTTTTTTTTCATCACCAACTGCTGCGTGGTTCTGGCAGTCCTCGCCTATAACCTTGTCTTTGGCGCGCCCCCTCGCCAGGTATTTCTGACGTGGATCTACGGGCAGCTCTCGAACATGTTGAAGGAGCTTAAGGACCTGAACGAGACTTACAAGTACAAGATGTTCAGGGGCCTGGCGTGGACGTTGGGCACGTTCGTAACCCTGTTCACGACCCTCACGGTGGCGATGCTGGCGGCGGAGGGAAGCCAGACTCAGAGCTGGGAGTGGAAGTTCGAGTGGATCAACGTCGTTTCTTGGGAGGTGTGCAAGGCGATGATAGATTGTAGATGATAGATGTCAAAAGGCGTGTGGTGGACGCTTGTCCGGCCCGATTGCACACGTTTTTTTTTTTTTCCACGAGGGTTACTAGGATCGTCGGGCTGCTTCGCGTCTTAACCGATCTGCTTGAAGCATGTGCCCTTGTCGGTACGCCCGGAAGGCACGCGAGTGTTACGCCCGTGGGCTGATGATGACGTCAGCCGCAAGATGTCGCTTCTTACGGAGACCAGCAACAACGAGGATAACCGCACGGAGGACCCCGCGATATGTTTGCGCTCGAGGGGTCACACTCTGACGCATCTACTGCTCTCAACCTGCCCCGGCGATCGGAATGTTTCTCCCCCCCCCCGCTGGACGCAGATTCTCAATTTCTGCATGCTGGCAGCCGTGAGCATAATTTGGCGCCCGTCTCCTCGCAGCGCTTTGTTGGCGTACTCGAAGCAGGTGATCTTCTACTTCTAGAACTACTACTACTACTACTACCTAATACTACTACTACTACTACTTACTACTACTACTACTACGGCGGTACACGGCGATAGCATGCAGCTTGCTTTCAGAGCTATGGCGATACAAAACGTTAGCCCGCAGCGGTTGTTGGCACAAAACAGATGATACTGTGTGTTCTCCTGGAGTGTGCGGTATTGTTTTTGCATGTGTTGGACAAGTGGCAGAACCTTTTCTACCTTACGTGGCAGATGAAGCGAAAATCGTTCCCGTGATAAAAGTCAACAGTGGTTTGTGAGAAAATGCCGCACGCTACCTTTGCATACGAGCGCACATGCAAGCGCGCGGCCTGCTGTTGCCTTGAAACGATTTGGGGGACATGCGAGTGTTGTGTCCGCCGCTGCTTTGCCACCAACGAGCTCTCAGCTCTTAAACTTTTCACGTGCAATAAGCGTGTGGCGTTATCAAAAGGTTTGATGCGTTTCCCTGTTGCGTAGCACCATTGCTTCGTCGCATCCAAATGCGGTTCCTTGGGATGCCGTCCCGTGGACTTGAAAATAAACAGTTATTGGGCGCTCCTTATTGGATCAACGGGGAAATCAACAGGGAAAAATGTAGGTGCTGGTGGTGGCAGGGTTCATGTTCCCATGTTTCGTGAAAATCGAACCCTCGATTCCTGAACTGCCGATTCCTGAGAAGCTGAAGAGAGCGTTCTGTACTCCCGAAAATGCTTGTGTCAATCTCTCTCTCTCCAGCTTGCCACCACGGAAGTCGGTGCGGAAGAAGCTGACGGCATCGAGATGGACACGGTGGAGTTCCAAGGGGCCCCAGGAGGCCAGTTCACGATAGGGGATGACGGCGACGACGATGGCGATGAGGAGGAGGGGGATGACTTGGGCGACCGCGAGGGGAAGGTCGACGGCCAGGGCGGCCATGGGACGATTTACTCCATGGCCAACTTCGAGCCGCAGAGACACACGGATCTCGCGTAGGGCGTGTTCGGTAGCAGCGGAGCCTTGCTGAGGCAAAGAGCTATGCAGTGAGTCTTATCGCGTGCGTTGTTGTTGTGTTGTTGTCGCTAACACCGCTGCGATGTGTTTTATGTGTGTCTGCCCGACACGTAAGTGCTATCTAGTGCACGCCGCCCTTTTCATTCGGACTTGTTTGCTTGTTCAACTATGGCGTAGTTTCGATGTCAGCGAAATCTGTAATTTTGGGATGTGATCCATCGGAATTGTGTCGGGTTCGAGCTTTCGCAGTCGACTTTTGTTTTTTTTTGCCCTTGCGCCTTGCTCGCTCGATGTAGTCAAGCCACCCGGCGAGTGAAGCTTCCGCTGTCTCTATTGTTCGGTGTTGTGGTGGTTGTTACTGTTGTTGTCTCGACTATGAAACTTGTACGATAATGGTTGTGTTGTCTGCGCGTCCAACATGCCTTCAAAAGTAAGTGTAACTTGGCAGCACCCTGTTCGCACGGAGCCTGTACTTGGCTGTTGGGCGTACTTCTCGGTTGCCACGGAGAAGTTGCCCAGGAAAAAAGCCTCCACCGATACAGGCCGCAGATGATGGCTTTGAGGTTGAACCAGGGACCTCCCCCCCGCTATGTGGCAGTGGCTTGACGCTGCAACGCCGGTCTCAAGAGGAGCGGGGGAGAGGAGAAGCAAACTTACCATTCCTTCGCGCTGCTTGGAGTCTCAGGCTATTACTGTCACCACGGCCCTCACCGCGTGTGACTGTAGCACAACATGGAGCCACGAAAACCGCAAGAAAAAACGCTTCATGCCTAAACATGTTGAAGGCTACACACCCGAAACAACCCGCTATCGCTCTGGCCGAACAACCCACCATTTTCCGGGGGCCCCGTGGAAGAGATGTTGTGATTCATGGATGGTGGCCTTGAGTCCTCTGTGAATGGCTTTCTTCTTTGCCGTAATTTGTGATTTACATAAACGGGGTGGACCAAGCTAGTCTCGGGCTGATGCAGTCACGGAAATTCGCTCGTTCACGTCTCTTGGGCCGACGTCTTGTTGTTTGTAATGCTTTTCATAGAATGTTTTGCGGGCGAGGTCTGTTATTACGTAGTAGTATGCGAATGACAGGCTGTGGCGGAACTGCGGTGGCATGTAGATACATCATTTCCGGCACCACCGCCGCGCCCACCCCACCACAGTGAGTGGTGGTCGTCGGTGTCGTTGGTGGAGTTGCTGGTCGTACGGTCGTGGTCCCGGCGACGTTTCACGGAGTTGTCGGAAGAATCGTCTGTATTTTTTTAGGATTCCCTCCTTGGGTGGATTCAGTGGAAGATCCCAAAAGGTCGAATGTGTCGGTGGGGGGCTCGGTGGCGGAGAGGGCACGGCATACGACATGTGTTTCGTGTGTGCTGTCTTGGGTGTTACATAGGAGAGCTGGGTTCAATGAACGCATGTTGTGGGTTTCGATTCTGCTGTCCCACGTGCTCACGTACCGACTTGCTCTGCTCCATGCTGTTCGCTACTACCATACACCCGTGTCTGGCTCGACGGGGTTGTAATGTAGCGGATCCGACGGATAAGCTGTCAGCAACGCCACGAAGGGTGTGTTGTTCACAGCAAATGAATGCCGATAGATTTCGAGCACTGTAGCTGAGAATGCCTATTGCAATGTCCGTACTTGGGAGGAGAAGACACGCTTTAACTCTCTCTGATTAGGCACCCGCGGGAGCGAGGAAAGGAAGGGAAGAAG